GTGGGATGAAGTTTGGGTGTATGTGACGATTTTATTAGTTGACTAAAAGTTGTGATCAATGTGGTGGTGGTTTTGGAGGTGACAGTGGTGGCGTTGCTGTTGGAGGCAGCATTGAAGTGGTGGTTGTTAGTGTTGGTGGTGGTCACAGATTATTTGGTTGGTTGTGACCAGCGAATTGATTAATCTGTGATCAATAAAGAATATGTGACCAGTGAATTGGTTAATCTATGACCAATAAAAAAGATAAATTGTGAACAAAAAATAATGTGTGACTTAAAAAATTAATAATTTGTGACCGCCTAATAATTCGTGACCTATAATATTTGTGATTTGTGACCTATAAATTTTTTTATTTCGCGATCGAAAAATAATATGACCTATAAAATTTTTGATTTGTGACCAAAAAAAGTTGTGACCAATAATTTTATAAGTTGTGACTAAAAATTAATCGTGATTAATTAATTTTTTTATTTGCCACCAATAAACAAATTGTGACCTATAAAATTTTTGAATTTGTGATCGTAAAATAATTTGTGACATAAAATTTCTGATTTGTGACAAAAAAATAATAAGTGACTAATTAAATTATTAATTTGTGATCAAATTGTATAGATATATGACTTATATATATGTAATTAATAAATTAATTAATTAATTAAATAAATTATAAATAAATTTTAATAAAAATCTGATTTTTTAAGTATGAAACTTGCTTTCTTAATTTTGAAATATGTCATACTTAATCTCTTACTTATGAAATTTTTCCTTAATTAAATCCCGAATTAGAGTCTAACTCTAATTCCATAATTATTGGGCGAAGTTATTTAATTAAAATTAATTTTTAATCAAATTTCGAATTAGAGTCCAACTCTAATTCTATAAAAATTAGGGTGTGATGATTTAATTAAAATCAAATTTTAATTAAATTTAATTAGAGTCCTACTCTAATTACAATATATATTGGGGAGGTAATATTAATTAAAATCAAATTTTAATTAACATAAGATTAGAGTCCAACTCTAATAATATGGAATTAAATTAAATATTTAAGTTAAAATCTAATTTTAACAAAATATAAAGACATTGGTTTTAAATATAATTTTAACTTTGGACCAATTTAAAATACGGGTCAAACCCAATTAATAATACAAGTTTAAAACTCAATTTAAAATTTAAATTCAAAACACATTTTTGAAATTTACACATTGACCCAAAATTAAAATTAAGAGCCGACCCTTCTAATTCAACAAATTGCAGAACAAATCCATGTTTAAAATTGCAAATTTAACCCCATTTTTATAATTGCAGGAGCCACCCCGAAATTTCATAAATTTCAGAAGAGGCCCTTGTCCCCAATCTCTTTCTACAGAAACCCTAGATGATTTTTTTTTTATTTCTCCAGTGACAGTGCCGATAAGGAAGGCAAGGGCCACGGGTTTTGCTGTCCAAATCAGTAGTGCGAAGGCGCTGCTACCTAGCAGCTCCTTCGCGCTGCTGATGTAGCAGTTGCCAGCGCCCAACAGTGCCTACCGACCGCAGCGCCGACGGTGGCGGCTGCCTTTGATCATTTTATTTTATTTTTATTTTGTTCCTCAAAACAAATTTTGAAAAAATAAAATTAAACACTAAAATTGCCAGATTGAGGAATAAACATGATTAAATCAACTTTTAATTTAATCAACATGTAAATCAATTCCTAACAAATACAAAGTTGACTCTGATACTACTGTTGGGAATTTACTTAAACATGCCCAGCGGAAATAAAACATTTCCAATTCCCACCAAGACTCATCTTTGTATTTAGATAGGAATTGTGATAAAAGTTATACATTTTCTTAGATCTGCAAACTCTTTTGCGTTATCTTTGTTCCAACAATTTGGATCTGCCTTCCATAACTGTCCAATTGTCTAGTCTCCAATGAATTCCACACAGAGAACAAATTGCAGCCACCAGAGTTTTCTCCTTTTGTGCTAGCAAGAATTATGAGATTCTCTACAGATTGAAAACCCTAGCCATTTATTTATATAAGCCCAAACGAGTTTCGTCTGGTCTGATCCAATATTTAGTTAATCTATTTAATTAAATTCGATCCGTGAATTAATTAATCCAATTAATTAATTCGGGCTTATAAATAATCAACCCAATTAATTAATTTATTCAACGATTATTAAATTAATTAATTGACAAATTACAATCTTCCAATTCTCTTTTGTGTGTGACCCATCAGGTTCTCGATCACGATGCCTAATGACGTGTAATATTATTTTGATCTAATCAAAATTGATAAATTAAAATACTCTTTTAATTTATCACAAATTTACACTCGCCGTCCCAGATTGACATCTAGCAATATATCAGGGCAACACATGTGACAGGAAATGTCATGTTGTTTGACAAAACCAAACTTGTTCGTTTACCATGAAACTATAATCCCTTCGTTAATATGATCCGATTACGAGATATGGAAGTGTGTCGATCTCGATTATCGATCATATCTTTCATTCTACTATTAAGTCAATATGAGTCGAAAACTCATTTTCGACTTATGTGTATACCTTGACCAAGGATTTCGTTATTGACTTAACTGAACGAAATGCAAATCACAATCTCTTAATATCTAAGAATGACGAATCCTCTATTGGTCATTCACAGTATTCATATGATTCTTGACATACTCGAACGATGCCGTATTAGCGGCCCTTAGTAGAGCAACATCCAATACTGTCAAAGCATAACTGTCCTCATACAGGGCACTATAATGACCTCACGTTGAGGGACCAATTCCACTACCGAACGTTAGAGATTAACCACTGACACTCAAATAGTTATCCATGTGAAATCTCTTAGCAGGTCTCCAATATTTCGTTCTATAATAAAACATCCACGTGTTCATTTAAGTGTCACCACACTTTAACTTGTGAGATCAGCTACTTATTTTACAAATAGAAAATGACACACGTGATGATCTATCTATAATAACGATATCCGTATCTCGTTATTACTTACGACCACGGATTATTCAAAATCCAAACATACGTAATTTGTATCTCACAATCACAACTCCTTGTGATTAACAAATCACTTAAACTTGAATTTTTCGACTCTATTATTTAATATTATTTATCAGAATATCAATTTAAATAAATAATAGATCTTACCAAAATTAAATGCATTAAAAATTTTAAAAGTGTTTACAACCTAAATCGATTGGATTTAGGGTATAATACTTACAAAATCTACTTCTAGGGGCAGAGTGGAAATCACGATAGGAGTGAGTGAAAGAGGGTGACGGAAAAATCTAGTCGGTGGAGGTGGAGGTGGAGGTGGGTGCTGGGGAGGAATCGGAGTTGAAGGACATGGTTGGAAATAATCAAATTGTTATGGGGTTTATAAGACTAGGAATTATTTCGGCTGTGTTTGGGGTCAATCATTAGTTACTAATTATTATTAATTGAAACAATTAAACCAACTACCATCATAGTTGTCAACTGCCATTACCAGCTACCATTCTCGGCAATTGCCGCTCGTCAGTTCTTCCAATCACGACATGAATTCAGGATCAAGATTGCACTTCTCTACTTGAGATTTGATCGCGGTTGATCCTTGAATAGTGATGATCCAGTGGTTGAGATAATAATTTTGCACTATCGTCTTTGAGTAATGATTTTGAACTTATCAATAAATTTTGAACTTAAAATTTTGAGCTAAAGAGAGTGTTTGATGGGGATTAAAATTAGATTTTTAGTAGATTATAATAGAAATTTTTGAAATGTGTAGTTGAAAAGTTATGAAACCCGTGAAAGATGTGGTTAATATTGATTGTTTGATTTTGACTTAGATTAAAATCGATTCAATCACAGAATATTTTCAATTAGGATAAGTTTTTAATTTTTCATTATTTTTAGGTTAGGCCTAACCATTTCTAGTATTTTCTTTCGTTATTAATAAAACAATATACCTAACTTAATTGGTTTACGAAATTAAAAAAAAAAAAAAAAAAAAAAAAAAAAAAACAGAGTAATTTATGCTTATTAAAACGTATGTGTTATCATCATTACTTATAAATTGGTAGCCAGCTCGTTTTGAACTGAACCAAATTGTGAATCACTTAGAGCCACATTAGACAAGTTTTGATATTTCTATGCTGTGTTTGATAGGGGTGAAATTTCAAGGAAAATGGAACTGAAATTCTATCTTTCCAATTTATTGTTGTTTGATTGGCAAAATGTAGAATGAAATTGATTTTCCGTAGAAGCTTGCCATATCAGGCAATTCCACCAAATGGTAGAATTGAATTTTTTTTATGGGAATTTCAATTCCACGGTTTAACGTCTTTTTTTAAATTTTTTTTTATTTTGTAATTTAAACAAATTTTAAGAATTATTGAAAAAAAAATATTTCCCTTTAATTGACAATTTTCATATAAAACAAAGACAAACAAACACCAAAAGATGATTTTCTTGAATTTTTTTTTTTTTTTTTTGGTAATGAAAACAAATTTCATTCCCAATACCAATAAAATATATCCCTTTACTTGATAATTTTCATGTAAAACAAAACCAAACGAACATTAAAAACCACTTTTATTTCAATATTTTTCACATGAAAAATTATACCAATCAAACACAATAATTTACAATTCTCAGAAAAATATTTTTTAAGCAATTCAATTTTCTGAAATTCGTTTTCTTTCCATCCAAATTCCATTTTTACAATCAAACGGACCCTTAAAACAATAGAATCATTCAACATTAATGAGAATATTTTTCCCTTCACTTTCAGTGGCTGCAACTTTCGTCCACAGAACTCCACCAACTTGAGCTGCTACCAATTCTAGTCCTCTACATTACTCTCACTCTACAAGCACTGCACAACCCCAACCAGGTCACAATTTTTCCATCTTCGTTTAAAGGTATAGGTGTTTATTCATACAAATACGACCAAATAATAATAATAATAATAATAAAATAAAATCATGTATCAAAAGCGAGAATCCACAGACTATAAACCTGTTAGCTGTCCTCTATTGCAATTCTGCGAATCCTCGAAAATAGTATAATGAGTTTAGAGATACCAAAGAACCATGCAAAACACACTAAAATTTCATTACATGCTTTAACTACATTTCCAACGAATCAGAGAAAAATATCGATCGCATCACGCTCAGTAAAGAATGGTAATATTTCACAGAAAGAGATGGATGTATGTTTCAGACCTGATCTTATCCACTGTTTCACCTTTTCTAACATGTAAATTCACTCTAAAATGACAGCGAAGCCACAAGAGATAATAATTTGACTCATGCTTTGTGGATGCTTAGTTGGTTTCGCCCCAGATGAGAAACCCTAGAAGAAGGAACTAGAGGTGATTCTTCGTCCCCGTGTAAATCCAGGGGGGAAGCATTCCAGCCGGTCTTGCCTCCACTGCTATCGTTCATTAGGTCATCAGGGACGTACAGATCAGATGACTTCTTTTCCATCTTAAGGTCCTGTGAAATTGAATAGAGAAGCAGAATTAGAAACTTTATGCATGTTTTCCTGGGAAGCAATCATGTTGTGCATCACAAGAAATCCATGAATCTAATGGAATTTAGCAGAAATAGGTTATACAATCTTCACGAAGACATATATTCAAAACTAAAATTAAGATATAGATTCATGAAATGACATCACGAGGCAACGAGGGAAAAGGAATGAAGGAAAAAGGTTAATTTGCATTTGTTTAAATAACAGAAGGAAAAGAAGATGGAACAAAAGATTATTCTTAAAATAGAGGCTGAAAAGAAAAAATGAAACAAACTTCGAAGTTTCTTCTCTTTCATCCCCTGCCTCCTTCCATTCATTCACTCGACTAAGCCAAACACAAGAAGTTGGGCATAAATTCATACAGAAGTCAATTTTTGCGTCCTTAAGTAGTTTTGCTATCTTTCAAGACCTTCATGAGCTACTCAGTATGGATTACACTGACTGAAGAAGATTAAAGTCTGCCTCTGGGGCAAGTGTGGTCCTTATGCCATTGAAATTTTGCAAGTTGTCTTTCTAACCACTAATCTGTATCTTAAAGTTTTACCCACCCTCTACTTAGCAACGGCATGAAAAATTGGAAATTTCCATCATCTCCTCCTCCATTTCCCCGCATTGCCCTTACTTCAACAGAAGCATAAAAGTCGTGGTGTTTTTTGCCTCTGATCACAAACGCTGATAACCTATTTTTTGTCATTTGGCAATCTGCAAGTCTTTTCATTGTTAAATTTAGCCCGTTTGACAACCATTATTTGAAAACTCTTTTTTCTACATACTCATTTTCAATCACATAGTAATACATAAGATATTTTCCATGTAAATCCAAAACTTTTCCATACTTTTTAACCACACATTCTCCTAAAAATCACTATTCAAACCATTGTTTTTCCCAAATAATGCTTGTCAAACAGGGGCTTATTTTGTGTGATAAATTTTATCCATTCATTCCACCTATTTGTTTCACTATCAGATTTTATAGTTTGAATATGAAACTCAATACAAAATACTTTAAAATAATTATAAACTGTAGCTCAGGCAAGTTCTCAGATTATGACTAGCAGCAACACAAACATTGTAAATGATGCCATGCAACGATAATTCTGGAAACATTCTAGTGATTTTCAAAATTACAGGGTCGAATTGAAAAACTTCCTCGTAATAATATCATAATGTGAGGACGCAATATGTGAGCTAAAGAAAATTCACTTGGATATTTAACGAGACCATCATGATGCTCGAATGAACCGAGCTTGAATTTAATGTTGCGCGCACATGAATTCAAAATTATTGGTTGAAGATGAGGTCTATTGAAATTCAGACAATTCTAAGAGTTTATTTAGGGCACAGAGAAAACAGAGAGAAAAATTAGAGTAAAATGGTTCATAGGCAATAATGTTTACCTTCGCTACTCGTTCTGCAATACTCTCTACAGAAGTCTGTGATAAATGGACATCCCTGAGCTTCAAGTAGTTGTACATGACAACACCACACAAGGCTGTGCAAACAACTTTTTTAATATATCTTCAAGTAATTAGTTTCAAAAATGCCTTTGTTTGTGTTTCCTATTTAGTTGCTAAAAAGTTACATTTCAAAGTCAAACATTAATTTTAACCACACATTTCAAGAGACCCACAATACTTATCCACCAATTATTTCTACCAACTTTATAATTTTAGCAACTAAAAAGGAAACCCAAAAAAAGGTATTATCAAAGTTAAAATGGAATAAAGAAGTGTACCAATTGCATAGCCAATGATATTTAGATTGGTGATTGTTGATTCAGGAAAAATAACTGTTGAAAGGGCAATAAGTATCCAGTCTTTTAGGACACCAGCTACTCGCATGGTTACTGCACTAGTTCTACCAATCGCCAAAAAAATTGAGAAATTCAAAGCCAGGGCGCAAAGTGCATTTGAGAAGAATATCCAATAATTGAATTGGATCTGTGATACTTCCATTTCAGACTTCTCCAGAAGACACCAAGGAACAAAGAGAAAAACAAAACTGGACATGAAAAGA